TTCCTTATTATGTTCCCTAAAGTTCAACTATCTCTGTGCAGTATAAGTATCCTATTTGTTTCCATTTTCTCAAAAACTTTATTGTTGCTCATATTTTCGGTCCACCGTATTCTCAGCATCCTTCTGTAGAACCACATTTCTGTTGCATCAAGCCTCTTCTTCATCTGGTAAAGGATTGTCCAGCATTCACTACTATATCGGAGGACCAGCATAGCATTTCAGTACTGTTCTCTTTGTCTGTACTTCTGAGATGAGCTATTCTCTTTACACTATTTGGATATATGGCCCAGTGGATAAAAGTGTTGGTTAAAGTAATCCAGTGACTTGACCCAGAGAGTTGTGAGTTCAATACCTGGTCACAGCAGACATGAACAAAGCCTTGGAGAGTTGTGTTACTAAAGGGAAATAACTGAAACTGAGTTATGCAGAAAAACAATCTGCCCCAAAATAATTAAAAATAAATGCATATCTGAGGTTTTCTCCTGGGTGAAAGCGGGCATCAATACTTTCTTTCCAGCAAAGAAATACCAAGTTAAATTATATTTATCTCCTTGATTCTCACCTGCATGCATGACTTGCTATAATCCACAGAAACCACTTCTTCCAGCTCTACCAGATTAACAAGTCTAATTACAACAGATGTCTCTTTGTCTCTGCTCAAGACAAGTGCAAGTGTGTTCTTAAAGAAGCAAAGTTACCATTTGCTGATAAAATGAAACAATATATAGCATCTTGTACGTTTGATTCTAGAGATTGACAGCTCTGCAAGAATGTGCTGAAAAACAGCAAATCCTCACCCCCTCCTCTATTCAATTAATTTGAAGTCCTGACACCTATAGCAAATAACTCAGTTGGAGTATCCACACCTGATTTCCCTCCTAGAACAGAGACTCTACTGAGTGATATGGGCATAATCCTGCAACAGGTCTCAGGATTTATTTCTAAATTAGACTCCCATATGGCAAGTGGAGGTGACAGGATACCAGTCGTCCTCCCAAAGAAGTGTTCCCCTGAGCTGGCTCCAGTTCTCTTCAAACTCTACAACTATTGTTTACCTCCGTGCTTCCTACTTTCCTGCTTATTGGAAGTCCTCCTCTGTAGTTCCTGATTTTTTAAGAACTCTGGAGAACCTTCTGACTCCACTAACTATTGCCCTATTAGTCTCCAAATACTTTTTGGCAAAGTATTCAAAGATTTAATCAATGCTGAAGTGGTTAAACATTTTACCTCTCATGACCTGCTCTCTGACAAACAATGTGGCTTCTGTTTTGCCAGATCTACTGCTGATGTGCTAACGGTCATCACTGAATATGTATATCAAGCTCTTGATAATAACAGTGAAGCTCAAGCTGTGACCTAAGATATCTCAAGGCATTTGACAGGGTTTGACATGCTGGTCTTCTATGTCAGCTCCAGGGTTACAGTATTACTGGACATGTGTGATGTAAACCAGTCATTCCTATCAAATCATGAAATGAAGATCATTTTGAACAGGGTTGCTTCCAGATCCTTTCACATGAATACAAGTATCCCCGAAGACTCTATCATGTGTCTGACACTGTACTTGATCTACATCAATGATCACCCTGATGTCATCAGTTCCCAAGTAGGCATATATGCTGATGACACTACTATTTACATCTGTCTCAGTAGCAGAGTTGACAAAGTTAACCTGGCAACTGCTCTTGAAAAGACTTTCAATCCATGGTTAACTGGGGCAGGAAGTAGCTTGTAAATTTTAATGCCTCCAAAACTAAACTGCTTTCATTTACCCACAATAAAAAAAACTTTATTGCCCACCATCAGCGTGGCTGATGCTAGATTCATGGAGAGCAACACACTGTACCTTCTTGGCTTCATGTTTTCAGACTTGAAGTGGAATGAGTGTATCGAATCAATAGCTGCATCTACTGCAAGGAAAGTTGGCCATTGTGTCATGCCAGAAAGTTTTTCTCATAAGAGTCCATCTTGCACATTAGCAAATCTACCATTCATCTGTGCATTGATTACTGTTGCCATATCTGATCAGGTCTCCTGCTACCCATCTTGAGGCGTCCTGGGTAAGACGATAAACTACATCCAGCAGCAAGGTCTCTGATCAGGAGGTTCTGAGGAGCATGGAACCACCTCTTAATTGCTGGTGTTCCCAACAATTAAGAAAAGAGTTAGATTTATACCTTTCCCAAGGGTATTAGCATGTAAATGAATGTAATGAACTCAAATGGAATTTGAACTCAGCTTGCCGATTCCTCAGTTGCAGCCACAATCCATTACTCTTCCATCCCTCCTAATAAGCAAATATAATATGAAGAAAGAAAGGGAAGATAATGCTGGCATGCATTTAATGTCTGCTTCAGTGAAATAGAAAACCAAATCAATTTTGAATCTCTTCATTTGTACTGACTTCTTCAAATAATGACCTGCTTTCATGCTTATGATTGTTATTGCAGTATTTTGTTGAAGTCGTTAAGCTTAAATATTTAACGATGCAATTGGGGAATTTCCATGGCTATTTTATAGTCATGGAACTTTCAAAAAACTTATTCAGTCATTAACTTAAGAATTATGATTAATCAGAAATTTCAAATAGAAGAATGATGAAATTCTTACAGGTACTTCTAGTAATCATTATAATACTGCAGAGCTTTGGCATTTTATTGATTAATACAATTCCGTTGCATTATAAAGCACTAAGCTTTTACTTAGATCGACTTGTTCTTTGCCACGCAATAACCCAGAAATGACTAAAGAAGAACTAATGGAAAAGCAGCAGTGAATTTCTTTTATTCTATGCAGTTTTTGTATTTTTCAGGTTGTCATGTGGGACAAGAAATTTGTCATTTTTTTCTTTTTTCATTTACTTTTTTCTTCATCTCTTTTCTTTCTTTTTCTTCTTCTTGTTTGTATTTTATTTTTTTCCTTTTCAGTTTTTTTTTTTTCCTTTTTCATTTATTCCTTCCATTCTACACAGTTACTAAGTACTTAGGTTTAAGCTTGTGCATCTTACTGGGTGCATCTTTCTTAAAACTAGAAAAGATTCACTCTGCTTGACCAGCAAGTGGCATGGTGGTGCACCACTGATTTTTATTTATATATATATATATATATATATAAAATATATGAATAAAAAGAGAAGAGGAAAACATATTCTTAGGTAACCAATTTCATCCTCTCATGGACTTTATCAAGGCAATGTAGAATTTATTGTGTTGCACATTTTTATATAAAAAAAGCAAAGATTGAAAGGCCTGTCAAAACATATGGAAGACACAAAGTGTTATAAATCAAATTCTGGTAAAAAGTAAGCAAGTAATATTCAAGAATTTTATTTTTAAATGAATATTGTTTAAATTGTAATGAGATTGTAATGGTATGAGATGGACATGTTGTACATCTTCAAAGACATAAGGTGATGGAGTTAACCATCTTCTTTTTTATCGTTCGAAGTATTTGTGGTTGTGTATGTTGGCTTGGGAAATTAGTAATTCTTTCAGGAAAGGTGAGATTGGAAAGAAATTGGGGTGTAGTATTAGATTATGATAAAACTCGATAGCAGCACTCTCAAGAATTTTCCTTCTGAATAAAGTACTTTCTCTTTTGATATACATGATATATATAAATATATATATATATAAAAGAAGATGTCTGTCTATTTATCTGTTTGCTATTTATGCATGTCCACATTTCTCAACCAATTTCAGTAAAATTTTTCATAAATGTTGCAAATTTGCCAAGGTAGGTCAAGACCAACTTTTCAATCTCCAGGACCCCAACCCCAGGTTTGGCAGAAAAATTGATAAAACTGAAGAGGGGTATGATTTTTTACATAAACCAAGGCAAAGTTAAATGCGAACAAAATTTTTACTGGATGAGCTGATGTTCTTTGCACTTAATGTAAAACATAGCTCATGTTATTAGGTTTATGTGGAGTGCTTGATAGTTTTCCTGCAACACTTAAAAAACTTTGCAAATACTCTTTTATATAAAATTAGATATGAGAGAACATATTATATGGAAATAGTCAGTGAATGTTTCCATATATAATGTATATAGGTATTTGCATGCACACATACACACAATTTTTTGTATTAATGGCGTTTATGTCTATTTGCTATGTTAAATCTGACATTCACTGCTGGACTAAAAACTAGCCCACTTCAAGTAGATCCCTTTCACATTTGCCACTAGCTTGCTTACAACATTGTGTCTCTATTGCTTTTGCAATGATCAGTGATGTTATGTATGAGCCTGGTCTTAGGTTTATCATTAGGAACTCTGCGATCAGCACACTCTCAATGCATTTTCTTTTTAGTGAATATTTTTCTCTCCTAACCAGACTGGCATTAAGTTGAATTATCATTGAGTTCAAATTGTTGTTATGCAACATATCTCTGCAATGCTCATATAGTCTTTTTTTTTTAATTCCTAGAAGTTTCACACAGAACAGAAAATATATAGAGATACTTTCTGTTTTCTTTTTGAATTTATAGGTCTGATGAATTGGATCATGATTACAATTCCAATGTAACAAATTATAACCATGAGAAAATTAGTGTCTGAGCCTTTTATATTATATTTAATGTGTGTGTGTGTGTGTGTGTGTGTATATATATATATATATATATATATATATATATCAAAGTATATAATGTTTGTAGTGTGTTGAAACAAAATGGCTATTTTTGTAGTGATTTTATAACATACTTATGTTATAATTTTTTTATAAAAATAATTATATATATATATATATATATATATCATTTTGTTAAGAGATGTTAAAAGTTGTTGTGGTGAGATGGGGAATGTCATGATAGATAAGTATATTGGTTGTTTTTTCAACATTTTCATGTCATGTCAGAAAAAAGTCTAAAATGGTATTTTTTTTAAAAATATTCCAAGAAAAAAAACATTTTTTGCATATTACATGTTGAAGATAATAATTATAACTATTTTGTATTAAAGACATTTTAAAAGTAATTTATTTATTTCATTTTTGACAGGGGTACACAGATGAACCCATATCAAAAATTTTATGCAATGTTGAAGATGGTCAAGTCGTTCAGCTTGATCGGTAAGTAAAAACATTTTAAAGTGTTTCTTTTTTTCTTTTGTTTTAATAGATTTGCAGTTATAAAACCAGCACTGTTGAGAATAGCAATCTGAGCAACTGGTAGCATGAAGATAAAAACTTCACTTAGAATTTCAGACAATGAGGAAGGCTGAAGAACACACCAGTTGAAATACAGAGAATAAATACAGCAAGGATGAGAATAAGATCTCTGACAAATTGGAATCTTTAGCTTTGGTTGGCAACTCTGAATTCAAAACATGAGGAGGATTGTTTGTACAAACCATCACCTATATAATAAAAACATATGTGCTGGTAGTAGGACTGTTTGGTTAAGCAAAATTTAGCTGCTAGACCCTCATATGCTGAAGACAACAGGAGAGGCCATCAAATATATTTAATGCCTTCTCATTTTCTGAGTGTGCCTTTCTGATAGAGTGGTCAGCTAATCCCTCTTGCATAAATCCATTAATGTGTTTTTTGTTGTTTCAACACTCACAGAACTAACCTGTTTCTGGGGAGAGAGAGTGAGTAATCTTCCATAATCAACAGTTTGAACAAAGGCTAGTACACTCAAAACCTAAGTCACAAAAACTTGCTACTTTGTGCTAGTAAAACCATAAACAGCTTTCAATAAGTTTAGTCTGTAAAATTTTGTTCACAAAGATTGGTTCAATTTGTGGTATGGATTCTGACATTTATTAATAATACTGCATACTGAAAACATCTCTCCAGGCCAATAATATCAAAATGTCACCTCCCTGAGAAATTGACTATTGTAAAATTCACACCCACATATTATGGTTGTGTTGTAGTACCTACGGGCTATAATGGGTATGTCACCATTCCCATAAATACAGTAGTGAATACTGTATGTGTGGTCTGCAGTTAGAGATTCATTGTGGAATTCACTTGACTCACTTCTGGCAGTTGACTACTTCTTCTACACACCACTGGTGAATCTTATATGTGTTGTTCTTGTCCTAACTATTATCATTCATTAAGAACCTCTGTGTGATTATTCTATTCAGTAACCTTTCCTAGGTTACAACAGGTTGCTATGCAAATATATATATATATGGCCTGATGATTGCATTTAAGCATGAAACAGACTGTTTGCTGCTGGATATTAATGTCAATGTCCATTTTTATATTAGTATGTGCTCTATCCCTGATATTGAGCACTTTAACCCATAATTATAGCATACCTCAAAACTATATTTTTATCATATATATATATATATATATATATATATATATACATATATAGGTATGATAAAAAAAAACCATATATATACACACATATGCTTGCACGTACATATATATTTTTTCTCAGGTGTTACAATAATAGTGCTCAATGTTAAATAACAGAGCTATTAAGTATATATTAGTTAACATACATTAATATCCATAGTCTTAACCTATTATTATAGTAACATTGTGAGTACTAAGTTTATTCCATAAGACATTACTTTAAATGTTATAGTAATTTTATGCAAAAAAGAGAGTTATTCCCCTTGACACAAAACATGTTTACATAATTTCAAAATTTTATTTAAAGTAATTTTTAATTTTTATTTTTTTTATTTCTTCATCTTTTGAGCTATATAAATTACAATTTTAAAAATGTAAATTATAAATAATTATCATATTATTGGTAACTATAATAAAAGAAACTAGTCTTAACTAGTCTTAAATCATCATCACGAGAATGCAAATTTCATAATGTTCTAATGGTCAGTTGTCATTCTGTACCTGAAGATTGCATGTTTGCATGAAACTCTAAATCATGCTATTGATGTTGGATATTATGTATATTCACTAATATATATATATATATATATACCATATATATAGGTAAGATGAGAACCAATAGAGTACAATTCCAACATTTGTAACACCAAAAATGTCAAAATCATTACACAATTGCAGTTGTGTCTATATATATATAGGCATGGTAGAATGGTGGCTGGCAGCTCAGATTGAGGAATCAGAGTGCCAAGTTTGAATTCCAGTCGAATCCATTACATTCACTTACATGCTAATACCCTTGGGAAAGGTATGAATCCTCTTCTTCTCCCTCCAGCTATGGGTAAATAGCAGGACAGACTGGGTTCTATAGCCTTGAATGGCAACTGGTCTAGGAGAAAGACAACTTAGAATTCAAAACCTGCGGAGTGTCCTTTGGGGGCCTTGTGGCATGTAGTGCATCAGGTCTCTGTATTTGACCCTTCAAAAAGTGTCGTTGGTCCTGCACAGAGCCTTCACGACTATAATTAAATCATATGAACTGAGCTGCTTGACTCTCATACATCAAATACAATGCAAGAATCCACCAAGATGAGAACCAATGGAGTATAATTCCAGTGTTTGTAACATTTAATTTAAAAGAGCGCTCAATACAAAGTAGAGCAATATTATTTATTTTGGATATTACACCAAAAACATGTCAAAATCGCTACACAACTGCAGGAATGTTTTGATGCATATCAATACATCTATCATCGACTGATCCAATCTATCTATCTATCTATCTATCTATCTATCTATATATATATATATATATATATATATAAAATCATATATATTAAATATATTAAATCTCGCCAATTAAATCATTAACCTTTGCATTTGTTTTTGTGTGAATAATTCATGAATTTTAAATTGATTGCACGTTTATCGAAATTAAAATAACTGATCCAAGTGCGACTTTTGGATAATAAGTGCGACATTACTGTAATTATTGAACAATATAGTTCATGCCACTTTGACAGAAAATTTACCAGTAAAAAATTCATTTATCCCCATATTTGTACATGAACGCACAACTGTAAAAAATTTAAAATCAAACTCAGCGTTGCTACTGCACGCTCCAAAAACATTAACTCATTTCCAATAGCATTTTTCGGATACAACAATACATATATTTTCGTTGTCCTCTTATTACTGAGAGAAAAAAACAAGAACAACATCTATTCCATACCTGAAGATGTCTGTAGGAACAGACGAAAGCTTGTAGTAAAAATAAGAACTAATGCGGCAGAAATTTATAGAAACAAGGATCTTTTCATTCATAACGGATTCGGAGGTTTTTGTATATTATTTGAATTGTTTGCGACGATGGATTTCTCGCCAATTAAATCATTAACCTTTGCATTTGTTTTTGTGTGAATAATTCATGAATTTGTAAATATATATATATATATATATATATATATATATATATATATATATATATATATATATATATTTCCTTTGTGCTCCAACTACATGAATTTAAGTGTGCATTTAGGTCTCACCCTTTTACTGTTGAAATAGCTAAATGCAACCACCATTTCTACTCCAACAGTTTCTTTTCTCGGACTTTCTACATGTGGTACTCATCTCAAAAATGTAAACACAACTTCAATTGCCACCTTCTATCTTCTTAAATCCCCCTTTATCTTTTACTCTTTCATCAATCCTCCCTATTCTCAGTTTTCACTTTCACTCTTTGTAATGCATGTGTACTAGTAGCATTACCACCTTGGTGTGAAATGATTTTTAAAAAAATATATATATGCATGTTTCATTAAAGATGACAGACAAGGTACTACAGTTAAGCTTTTTATATAATATGGAAGCTTTAATAATAAAAAGAAAAAGCCAACTCTTAACAATATTAACTATGAACAAGGCCACAATGTGCTAACCATATTCGGAAATTAAAAACATCTCTACAACACACTAAAACATACACATAATGCGCACACTCAACTTAGCTGTAAAATTGAATCATCTTTGATAATGGCTAAAGGTATAGCTGAAAGCACTCAGAACTATAAAACATTTGGACAGTTTTTACACACTCTTTGTCCAGAAAAGAAAGCTCTTGTTCGAACACAAGAAAAATGGAATAAAAAGCTTATTCATAGTACCTTGTATGTTATTTTTAATGAAACATGCATAAACGAAGGATTGCTGCCTAAATATACAACTATATATATATATGTATATATATATATATATATATATATATATATATATATACACACACACACACACACACACAATAGGGCACTTTTTGGTTAGACAGAGGTTTTTGTAATATATATATATAATTTTTTGTGAGGGGTGAAGATTGTAGGTAGTCACTCTTTATTTATTTATTTTTTTTTTTTTAGTTCTCAGAAATCCAGTCACTCAATGTCTTCATAAAGTTGGCTGTGTCATTTAATATATTTGGTAATGCTCTGCTTTTTCAGCTTATTTCTATAATGGGTTCCTCATTTAAAAAAAAAAATAGTTATAACAACATTTAGATATGCTGCACTTAATGAAAATGGTTCTTACCACAAGCAGTGCATCAACAGACTGGATGATAACAACCATTAAATGGTAACAAGACCAAAAATGAAAACCATTAGTTCTTTAGAGAATCTTTTCAGTATTATTACATGAAAACGTGATATAACTATTTTATATCATCAGATGAATCTTTTATTTGCTTTATGGTCATATATATTATATATATATATATATATATATATGCTCAGCAAAAAAAGCAAGGACTGGGGTTTTTTTTCAACAACTTAGACCCAAATATAAAGAAAGTTGTGAAAAAGATAACAAGAAATGAATGAAAGATTATTAAACAGAAAAGTTCCATAGTCTTTAATAACACATGCTTCAATAATGACATGCTACCAATATATATATATATATATATATATATATATATATATAAGAAAAACAAAAAAACATTTGTGGAACCAACAGACAAATTGTCAAAAACTAAAACTCTTATTCAGATGCAGTACTCAATTAAACTGACAATACTGAAAAAAGAAAGAAAAAGAAGGTCTAAAAGCAAACATAGCTACTCAGTAAACTGGTCAAAGCCCAGATTGCCTGAACTGAGCAAAAAATGCTTCCCAATATTAAATCTTAGAAAAGGATGGCACTGGTCGTAACTCGAGTTTCATGCTCCCGCAATCTTCTGATGACTTGAACAGCCATTGCTA